GTTATGAATTTATATGTATATTCAATCAATATACGTACGTATAACTGTATCCAAGACTTACCATAGCGGCATCTCGCGCATAAGCATGCAATTCATCCACCGGAATGCAAAGTGTATGTACTGTATGTCGTGCTTCACCAAGTGGTCGTGTAATGATGCGTCCAGTCGTACCATTAGCTCTTCCAGACGATGTACCTGCCATGAAAATCAAGCATTTAGTGATATATGCGCTTGTGTATGTATATCTATGCAAACATGATATATATATATATATATATATGCATGTATATATATATATATGCAAAGGAACACTGACTCCTACATATACAACACACCTTGCGCTGTATGCCTGGTTGTGAGCTCGTATAGTTGTCTTGTATTCCGTCCTGCAGAGTGAGTGGTGAGTGTAGTGAGTGGAGTGAGTGTGTGACACAGGACTGCTGAATCGGGAATATTGCCTATCCAAGAGTTACACCCTGGAGAGCCATTGAATCTGACAAGGAAACTAATTCCGAACTTCTTAAATTGCAGGGTTTTAGGGTTTAAGGTGAATGAAGTGAGTGTATGGCAACAAACGGCCCAATAGGAAGTGTTGCTTGCCACTACATCCACCCCAGAAAAAGTAGTTCCGAACTTTTACGATTTCAGGGCTTTACGGTTTTACGATATATGGAGTGAGTGTCCGCAAAGAACGGCTTAATCGGAAGCGTTACTTGCCAATACGTCAAATCCCGAAGAGCTATCCAATCTGACTGGAAAGCTAGTCTCGAACTTCTAAGGAGAGGTTTGGAGACGTCCATGTTATTGGACCCAACGAAAGAACACACATGGTGCGCCAACAAGTTAAACGCAGAAGAGACTCGAAAATCGATACATGATTATGCTTTCTATATGGAGACGAGTATATTCTACATTGTTATCTATGCATATGCATACGTGTTTGTATGTCGAGTAGTTCGCAACATACTGTCGAGTTAATTGAGCCACACAATCTACTCAAGACATAGAAAGAATTGGATATACAATCGGAATCTCAGTAGGGAAGTACGCACGATTTTGTTAATAGGTGTAACTATGGCATTGACAGGCTAACTAGCCGAAGCCTGTTAAAGGCGTTGCTATGGCAACAGTTCAATGGCAGGTTAAATAGCCGTACCAGTAGTTTGCTCAGGCACCAGAAAGTATCCGCTTCAACCTCATTCAACGCCTCCGCACTGACAGATGAGATATCGGCCTTCTCCACGTCCACAGATGACTCTGTACGTACGCGATGGCAAAACGTTAACACAATCACTGTACAACGGCTTATGCATACTTTTACACGTTCCACACGCATACAGATACGTACATGTATGTATACACACCTACATGCGTTTGCCTAGAAGCAGACTTGCATTTAGCTGAATCGGATGGTCTCCGTAAGTGATGGAGATGTTAATTGCATTTGAGGAACCTATTTCTATCAGTTTTACAACTAGCACCTGTCTAGAGTAGTACACCGGTGACAGTATAGGAAGCACTTACAAATATTAGAAGTTAAACTAACTAGTGTCAATAAGACTTCACTCAAGTGTGGCCTTGTCTATATATAGATATATACGTATATTCACAGACACACATATATAACTATACAACTATATAATCATATATATATATATATGTGTGTGTGTATGTATGGGTATAGATATATAT